CCCCCCCAACAGGGTCAGAAAAATAATATATAGATGGCACAAAGGACAACACGCTCCAATGAAAATAATAGATGGCACAAAGGAAAATAGCTTAAAGCTTATTGATTGCCTGTTGACACCATTTGATTTCCTGCTGATTCCTATTGGTTTGCTTGTGGTTCCTTTTGGATTCCTTTTGGTTCCTTTTGATTTCCTTTGGATGCCTTTTGTTTCCCTCTCATCTCAAACCTAGGAACCTCTTCCAGATAAAGATTCCTTTCATTTCCTGATTAAACACAATTCCTAGAATCTGGTAAGCCAAGAATCCAAAATATGACTCCACTGTTTTCTAATCAGAGGTCCACATTACATCCAAGCATTTCATGTTGACATCGCAACCCTAAAAATTCAGACACATTCTTTCCTTTTTCCCATCCCGAGTTGTCGAAAGCAGCGCCATCTTGAATTCAAGAGTTGCGGACGCTGACCTGTACATCGATGCATCTGACAAATGGGCAGCCATATCTTGAGATACAGTAATGTTTGTTGTTCTTTGCCTGGTGCTCACAAAAACTTGGTTGCTTCAATCTGCCGCCATGCCGCCTTCCTTTCTGTGAAAGTGTATAACGTGCAAAGCCATCAAGTCTCCAATGCTGTACAAAGAACTGCCTCGGGAGTAGATGGCACAACTAATGAGGTTGACCCCAAGTCCATTTGATGGCTTGGTCACGAGCTTCATCACTGCTAGCGAACTGGCCTCCAACACCATATGAGAACCACTTGGATTGGGGGCCATCGGAGGAGGAACCAGCGGGCCAAGCCTGCCAACCACTGCAACGCCCCTCCAGTTTGGCCCGCTTATGCTGTAGCTTCGCCCCTGCAGGTACAGATTGACGGATATCTGCTGGAGTGGCATTCAGCCCTTTGCTAGAAGACGCTGTGCTGGACACAATAGCATCTGCCTCTTGTGGGATGGGTGACCTGCCCGTGGACATTGGTGCCTCCCACAAGACTTCCTCAACCAAATCATACCCCTCCGCGTCCAAAGCCTCAATGTCCTCATCTTCTGGCGGTGGGTTGTATGGCATGTCTGGTTCTACTTCATCATGAAATGCGGGTGCCTCTTCAGGTTCCAAATTCTCAGCTTCGATATTGGCATCTTCGTTGCCCGCATCACCCCCCTCGCCCTCATCCTCTTCCTCTTCCACACATGCTCCGTTGTCAAAGATCTCCTTCAACTCTTCAAGTGACAAGGGCTGGTGCTCTTGCTTCTCATCTGGCTCCAAGACTTTGCATTGCAGAACTCTTGCGTGATCTTCCCCCCGCACATGAAGTGTGAGGTTCTGCATGTCCAAGTCAAATACTGCCAAGTCCTTCCAAGCTTTGCAGTGGGAGGACTACACAAGTTGTACTGTGTTTTTTTGGTTAAACAATATTGTAGTTTTGTTTCCTCCCCATTCAGCCAGACCACTCCAGTTCTTGTGTGAGTTGCGCCATCAATGAGCAAATGATCTTGATAGTCCACTTACAAATGCACCAAAATCAGTTGTATTATCCCCAACAATCCAACTCACATGGATCATGGGGGGGTTGCGCCATCTATGTTGGTCACCAAAAAAATAAACACAGAAAACAACTCCCCTGTCAGCATGGGCCTTCAAAGTTCGTTGTGGAACATCTTCTTTGAAAGCCCTGCTGCCATCGCCCTGCGTGACCGTGTGCTTCAGCAGGAGTTTGTAGCTGCACTCTTTTCCTTGCCTTTTAGAAATGCAAATAGTTTGCATGGATTTCGCCTCATGTGGGGCACGACCATCAGCCTGAGCATACAAATAGCTGGTAATCCTCTTCTCGATTGGATGAACCAAGCAAGCAGGCATCACGGCCATGTCTGGAGAAGGATGCTTTTCAGACAAAAGCCATATGACACGCCGCCTCTTCATGTGGCCACCAAAGATCAGATCGTCAATGGATGGCTCCTCATTGTTTTCTGGGCCCAACACGGCATCCATCTCCAAAGGATCCACTCGAAGCTTGCAAGAGCTCCACTGCTCTTCTGTGAACAACCCTCTGGATAGATATTCCTCCTTAGAGACGTGCCCAGTGACTTCCCAAGCTTTTGCAAACATGACATCTGGCACTCTGTTCCAATTTCGGAGGCAAATTTCAATACCTCAGCAAGATGGCGCAACTCAAGAGAATCTGGAAAACATGTTTGCGCACAGTGCATCCACTGAAAATACAGCCATTTCTAAGTACAGTAGAGTGGTTCACAGATAGGGGTTCTACCACCCATGCACCATCCCATTGCAGTCTACTGAATTCTGAGGGGCATGGTCCTGCCATCTACTGGTTAGGACGTGTTGAAACAAAAACTTTGGGGTTCAGCTGCATCAACTTTGAAATAACATGTTACTGTAGCCGCCTGGTTGCACTCCTGCAAATTTGTCCTTTTCTGCACCTGTCCGGTTCCACCAATTTCCAGCCTGAGAACTATTGGCCATCAAAACATTCTGATGGTTTGTTTGGCGGAAAGATATTTCAGGACAAGGTTACTGTAAACAAATGGACACGAGTAAAATTACAGTATATAACTATTTTCTTCTCTTGGCAACCCTTGTCACGTCTTGCACTATTTACTGTACTACACTTGGAGGGAGATCTTATAACGATCTTGCCGGTTTGTCTTCAGTCAGGCAGCGTGTAAAATGGTGCTCGCCGAAAAAGGTTCCGACAAAAGCCAATGCGCTCTCTCATGCTGCTGTCGTTCATTGCTTTCAGGAAGCCATGGATTTGATCCTGTTCA